TCATTTCTGGACATTCATGGTTTGATTTCTTTGTATGTATGGATCACTTGGGTTGTTACCAACATCTGGTGAAAATTTCATGTCATTAGCAACTCTAGTAATATATTTACTGAGAAAAATGGTGACGTGTTCAATACTTATTTTACCCGCTGTATCTACACAGCACCAGGAGAGACTAAATTAACATTTTCTGCACTCCCAGAAACTCTAAGTACACAACAAAATATATTTAATGTCTTAAAAGTGGATTTTGCATGATATGTCCCCTTTAATAAGTGGGGTCTTTCCCCTGGTCCTGATGAAAGGCAAATGGTTTTGATTTTCAGCAACCTCCAAGAATCAATCCTGAGTCTCTGTCTGCAGTGAGAACAGCTTTATGTTGCCACAAAGATGGGTATTTCACCAGGTCAAAGACCACAAACAGATTAGAACTGGCTAACATTAAAGTTCTGAGGTGGCTTTTTAAACCAAAAACTTCAACCTGCTTGAAAATTTGTGAACGATGCTCAAAAGTAGAGTCTGAGCCACGGAAACCATCCATTGTCCTGATGTGTCTCAGTAATCCAGGTAGAAATATAAAAATAACAAGTACCGGTAAGTCCTCTAGACGAGTTTCGTCTCTCCTCCAAGAGACTTCTTCAGTCTGAGGAGGTGAACTCAGCCTTATAAGCTCCGCCTCCACATGGTGACAAACAGCACTGAACAAGTCTCTTAGAGGAGAGACGAAAGTTTCATTGAAGAAGAACCCGTCCAGAGGATTTACGGTACTTAATTTTTTTCATCATCCATCCATTGTTTTTTAACTCACTTTTCCTTTTTGGTTGCAGGGAGATGGAGCTTGTCTCCAGCAGTCATTGTGAGAGACTGGGAAGACCAGGGACAAGACATAGACCCAACACATAAGGCCTTTTTCATTGACTCCATTCAACCTTACTCGGGTCGACTCTGTGTGGCCTCCAAGTCTTCCCATTGGGTGATCCAACCCGCTTTTTGCTCAATTCTTAGGACATACTTAAGACCTTTGTATGCTCTATGTGAACCTGCAACACTGGCAATCATTGTTGCAGCTGCTTGACAAAAACTGCATCATTTTATTCTCAGATTTAAGTTTTCCAACCCTTCCTGATAAAACCCACCCCCCAGGGGAACTGTCCTGCCTCCTCTAAATATAAAATTCTTGTGACTGGTATTAGTTTACGCTGAAAGCGCTCAGACGCTACATTTTGCTTCAACTTTGCTTCCAAAAGCCGTCTGTTGTACCTGGAAGCAGACATTTATCAAGAGAGTCAAATGGCCAAAAACTCACGGATGGAGATCAAACAGACGCTGTGCACAGAGGAGTACACTCTGGTGCTTTAACCGAGACAGATGGGTGCCCAAAATAACGGTGGATTTTGGAGTGGGGACATTTTTAAGTGCAGACAAAGGCAGGAGGAAGCCTGTGCAGTGACGTGTACCACAGTAGGAGGGGGTTTTCAAGAGCTCGGTGCCACTTGGGCTACGAAAAGTAAGCAAGAAAACTACCGTCGAGCAAGCACATGACGGTGCATCAAATGTTTATCTTCGGATGGAAAATGCAAAGTTTTATTTTTTTATTTATTTTATTTTTTTACTTTTGTTTCGCTGGTTTCTGACACCCTGCCGCTCTGCTCAGCAGGAGTTTTTTTTTTTCAGTCTTTATTTATAACAAGTGTTTATAACAATTACATGCAACAGCATAAAGAAAAAAAAAACAAGTCAAGGCTTAAGATAGGCATTAAAATTTGAAACGTATAGAAAAAAAATAATAAAATAATAAAAAAACATGGGCAGGTTACAATTGAAATTCATTACAGATTGATTTGGTCTTTAAAGCTTTTGCCTTGGTGCAGTATTTTAAGGTGGCAATATAATAGGATAAATACGCATAAAAACTGTAAATTTGGGGTTTAGTTTAGAAAATTTACAACTGAGGATATGAAATTTAGCTAATAATAGGATTACGTTTACAACAAAAACTTTCTTAGTTGGTGTCTTTGTACAAAAAAATCCAAATAACATATTTTTTGAATTAGATGGTACGTCCATATCCAACTTATCATTCATAAACAAAAAAGTATCTTTCCAAAATAACTGAGTATAGGAACAGTCCCAAAAAAGGTGGGTGATTGTCTCTTCTGATAAACTGCAAAATGGACACATTGGGTCAATATTTGAACGAAAAAAAACAAATCTATAGAAATCTGTCCAGACACATGGATAGAGTGAATCTGATTGTGGTTGGATGAGCAGTGTAAAAACCATTCTGATATCCTATTGGTCTGAACTCACTCCATCACACCTGTATAACAAATCACATCACATCCAGCAGGACAGACTGTAGCACATGTAGCCTAGAATGAAGATGATCGTGGCTGAAACAACTAGTCTAGTTAGATAATTTAACATTTCTCATCATTAACATTTTAGTTTAACATTATACTCATTATTGACT